ATACACACAACTCTGTGGCACATATACAACTGTGGCACATACACGACTGTGGCACATACACAACAGTGGCACATCAGTAAAAAACACGAAATACTCAATTAAAAGTTTAAGATTGAAAATTTCTAAAAGGTCAATTAAAATGCAATGTCTTTTTAAAATCAACTTTCAATATTTTCAAACCTGTTGTTATTTTTATAGGCTAGGTTTTCAGACCATTTTTTATTACTTAATAATAATTTATTATTATTTAACTGTATAGCATTTATTTGTTAAATAACTAGTCACCCGTTCGTTTTAAGACCTTAGTGTCATTTAAAAAGTTGTTCCGCATAAAAAATGCTTTAAAATGGTATATCATAAGTCTATATTTGAACACAGTTTATTTCAGTTTTAAAAGCATGCGTCATTTTGAAATAGGGCCCAAAAAGGGGGTTCTCCTGTTGGGAATCATGGGGCATTTTTTTTACGTGATCTATATACCATAGGGAACCACTAGGCAAAGTTTCAGCTTTATACAATTTTTTTTCCACAAATAATAGTTTTTTGAGTTTTACTCCTGGACTATACCCGCAAAATTAAGATTTAAATTTTAAATTAAAAACTGAGGTTAACTCAAACAATAATTAAACTTCAGTTAACTCAATCAAATTTCAATAAACTAAATTACAGTTATTTAAAGACTTTTAATTAAACTAAATTATTTAATAGTTTTTTTATGCGTTTAATAAAACTAAATCTAAAAGCTTAAAAAATTCCAAATTTTTTTTAAAGTTAGATAATCCTATAATAGAGGTTAAAAATACGTTTGAATCTTGACGTTTAATGGAGGTTTTTATTCAAGTAGGCATTATTTGTACGCGCGTTTAACTAATTTTTTCTTAGTTGTATGCGCGTGTTTAAACATAAGTTATTATTAATTATTTTGACGATTTCACTTGAAATTCTTAATTAATTTAACCTAATATTTTTTTTTATACAAACTAAATTAATTTATGAGCCCAATTTGAATAAATAATAAATTACTTTTCTTTTATTTTAAAGCATGCCTGCCCACACTTAAACCCTCAGTAGATGTATGTACACTACACTTTCCCTTATCCCTATTTAAATCAGTCAATGCATGTACACGCTACTGCACCAATGCCTGTTTAAGTCTGTCAATGTATGTACACTCCACAGTACTTATCCCTATTTAAGTCAGTATACTCCACTGCGGCTACATCTATATCAGTCGATTTATGTATGCATTGATGTACTTATTCTATGAAGCTTTGAAAGATAAAAATAAATAACAAACATAACTATAAATAAACAGCAATAATAGTTAAAAAACACAAAACTACTCAGAAATAAAACATTAAAATTAAAAATAAAAAGTCTCCCCAATAAGGATATGAACCCGCAGCCTTAATAGTCACGCCTCAAAAGAAGAAGACCTTAATACTACACCGGTATATAAACGACGCGAAAAATTAAAGTATATATACATTTTTTACGTAAATAAATAAGATTTCTATTATGTAAAACTTATTTATACGCGCATACAAATAATGACTTCGTTTTATTAGGCGTTATTCTGGATTTCATTCTGAACGAATTATCGGCAAAAAAAAAAAAAAAAACGTTTTGGCTAAACGTTATTTCGATGTTTAATAAACGTTAAACATCTATTTGTCGTATTACCCTCCGCTGTTCCGATTTGCATTCAATGTAAAGAATTATTAAAAATAAATTATTTTAATTTTTTTTTTTTTTACTATAAAAAATAATTTATATATATTGTATAAATATATTATATATATATATATATATATATATATATATATATATATATATATATATATATATATATATATATATATATATATATATATATATATATATATATATATATATATATATATATATATATATATATATATATATATATATATATATATATATATATATATATAATTTTATATATATATATATATAATATATTATATTATATATAAGAAAAAAGAATAGGCTAGAAAAAAATTGTCTCAAGGTCTTAACGGAGGAACATATCGTAGTGATCATTTTGGAAATGTAGACAAGGCCATATTCACGTAGTTTCTTGCAAAATTAATTCAACAAATACCAATCGATAACACCAAACTGAAAGAAAAAGTACTAAAATTAACCAAAGCATTAGGTTTCATAATTGGAAAGAAAGGTCGTTACATTTTGTAAAATCTTGTTCAATTTAAATATAAACAGATACAAATGTACCAGCATTGAATTTTTCAAACGTTTGATTAAAATTCAATTATTCTGTTCCTATTTTTTTGTTTCTATAGGAAAGGAAATTAAAATTCAATTATTCTGTTCAATTATTCTGTTCCTATAGTAAAGGCATCAGCTTTAAAATAATCTCAGGCAAAGGTGCCTCCGTGATGAATAGTGACTGCTTCATGAAATGAAACTATACTTTTAACGTTACTTTAACGTTACTAATTACAAACTTGAAAACATTTTCAATGCCGATGATTTTGAAATATTTTACCGGTGTCTACTAAATCTTTATTTTTTATAAAAAACAAAATAACCCCACAATGCTTTAAGCACATCAAATAAGTCCCTTGCACATATAAGAATCAACTAGTCAAAAAGTCGGATGACTGGAGACTTTTTTATAGAAAGGATAAAGAAAGCTTCTTTATTGTCGTTTCGTGCACAGGACAGAAATGTACACTCCTGATAAATAATTGTTCTTCTAATCCACATAATGAAGGGCAACATAAATCAACCTGATATTTTTTTTTCTCCGAATACCACTTCCGTCCTTCAGTTTATGGTCAAAACGTAATACGAAGTCTTAAAGCTCACTTTCGTTACAAATTTATGCGTCTGTGTATCAAGGCTGTCGATAAAAGATCTTGTTTTGGAATGCTGTGTCAAAGGAGACTGTCATCAATTACTTTAAGAAAGATGGTACCAGCAAAACAAACAAGCATTAGTTTTTGTTATTATTGATTTTCATCAGAAAACTTGTTTATAATAAGTCTAGGAGTCCCTCTCTTTACCCGGAGTCCCACCTATCAATGAAACTGTTAGTACTTTGGGATTACGGAATTTAATATTAATTTTGTATCAGTATATAAACTTTTCAGAACAAACCGTATTTAATTTCTATAAGTTTATTAATTTAACATTGTTTAGCAAAAAGTTACATAACTTTAAACCAGTAAAGACGCGAACGTATTAAATTACGCTGCGTATAGCAAGCCCTCCATTTGCAACTGGAGGGCTTGCTTAAAATGGAAAAAATATTTTAAGTGAGACACGTCTATATTGAGTAAATAGGGCTTTGTGGTTATTGACTCCATAAAATTCTTAGACATATCAAGAGTTTGGTTAAAGTTTAAACTAAAAGCAATCCTGTTAATAATATTTCGACACAATTTAAATGATTACCTGCATGAATTTTCATTTTGCAAGTAGAAAAATTTGAAATAAGAATTAAAATAAAAAGTTCATATATTAATCATCTGGTTACGTGACCGGGGCAAGATGACTTATTATGGAATTTCTGCCTCCTTTATTCAATTTTAAAAACTACGTACTCTAACCATAGTCAATAGAAGTTATCCCTAAAACTAAAATATAAATTGACTATGTTATCACTAAAGTAACATAAAGTAAAAATGCTTTGCAAAAAAATATTCCTAAAAAGGTTACACCTAAAGGAAACCATCCATTACGATTAATTAAATAAAAAGTTATTATGATTCAAGTAAATAAAAAATAAAAGTCTTGTTAGCTTTGTCAATATTTACTTACTTTAAACCAGTTGGAAATTGTTTTAACTTCTAAGTTCATAATTTGAAATATTAAAGTATTGTTGCTGTGCAATAAAAATAAATTTGTGTTGTCGGCAAACATTATTACTCTCAGGCTGCATGCTTTATAGAGATCATTGACATATATTATAAAAAGAAGAGGTGGTGATCTAATAACAATGTGGACATATTGAGCACGACTATATAAAATAGTGTATAATATATCATATACTATACAGTATATGATATACTATATACTATTTTATATAATATATAGTATATCATATACTATATACTCTAAATAACTATATCGAATAACTAAAGTTTTAAATAACTGAAATCCACTTAAAGAGACTTAGCTTAATCTACAATCACATTTCCATAGAACTTGGGAATAAAAAAGAGTTTGGAATTTTAAATAAGATACTTCTTAAGTTTTTCTTTGCAAAATACAAAAACCTGGCGACTGGCTCAGATCTCTGTAAAACATCTTTACGATGTCCAAACAAATCTCTCATCCATAGAACCTCCGTAAGAAGTCTAGCGGACGTACTGTACTCGCTGGGTTATATTTATATTTTTAAAAAAATGTTGCAATTTTAGTTGTTTTTTTTTTTCTAAATAACGTTTGTTATAGCAATTCATTTGAGTCTTAATGGTTGTCTGATTTCAACGCAATTGTTTTCAAACGGAGAGCAGCTCTAATGGACTGCACGTCCAATAGAGGTATAGATATCTGATCTTTTTCGTTTTTTAGATTGCATATTTTAAATTCGTTATAATAACTACTCATTAATAATTAAGAAACTAGGTATTAACCAAAAGAAAAAAGTAGAAAATATGCAAAAAACAAAGTTTTGCTTTTTTCAGTAAACCGGTAGCTTACTGTACGTCTTCCGGTTTTTTACAATAGACAGTTTATGTTGACAAGCAACATTTTATGCTGATTTTATTTTTCTTCCTAAAAACAATTTGTATTGCACAAAAATTGTTTTACTCTGTCTAATAGTTCAAAAAAATGATATGAGGTTCAAGAAAGCAAAAAAAAATAATCGGTTGAACAAATCTCTGTATGTAAAAATTTCTGTATGTAAAACAAGGTTTATGAACATTTGTTATTTATAAATTTTTTAAATCTATATAATAAAGTAGTACAGCATTTTAAAACTAAAGTTGCAGTATTTTCTTATTTAGGCACAATGACTCTTCCTCCTACAACTACATCTGGCACCACAACTACATCTGGTAGGTACTTTTGTTAAGAAAAAATAAGTAAACGCTTTTTAAGACTAAAAACTATTCTATTTATATATATATATATATATATATATATATATATATATATATATATATATATATATATATATATATATATATATATATATATATATATATATATATATATATTTATTTATTCTTAGGCCATATCATTGAAAATGATATGGTCTAAGATTATTTTCAATGATATGGCCTAAGAATTTGGCTATATCATTTTCAATGATATGGCCAAATTCTTAGGCCATTTAAATTAAATTAAATTGAATTAAACCGAATGATAGGTTTATTTGCCTACTACGCTGAATGGATACACAATTGTAACGAGTTTACTCTACTGCTTATTCAAGCAAGAGACAACTTTCCAACCAAGGGCTTGTCCTCACAAGCAATTAAAAAGCTCAAAATTGTTGAATCCTACTCTGTTAAGAAGTTTGGTAGAACCGTACCTATTATTGAAGAACGCTGAAAGTTCATCATCCTCTGATGAGGTGTTTCGTTAGTAGCAGTACACAGAAGTTCTCTTATAGAGGATAGAGTCATTTGCAATGCCCTTCCTATCTATCTTTTCCCAGACTCAATGTTTTTTGTTTTTGTCATCTATCTTTTTCCAGACTCAATGTTATTTGTTGTCAAAAACTCAAAAGCCAAAGCTGGTGGAAAAGTTGCGACTGAGATTACAAAAGAAAAAAAAACTTTCTCATCCTAAGATTACAGTTTCTGTTAAGACTGAAAACTAAAATATTTGGCATTCCTGCATTAAGTTCTAATCTTTACAAGGTTCAACATGAAGCGATAAATCATTTTCTCTTTTTTTGATCCTTTTATAAATTTAGTTAATTTTATAAAGTTAGTTATTTAGTTTCTATGTTACTTAAGATAATCATTTTTTTTTCTTTTCTATGCGCAATCTGCATATCTTATAAGTTATAAATATGCAAGGTTAATGGTTATGACCATTTATTTATTAAAAATGTTTTTTTCTTAAAATGTTATTTTAGATCTCAGCAAGAAGAACCATGAAAAAAGACACCATGAAAAAGCAACCTAAAATTAGCATATTTAATATTTCTAACATTAAATATGCTAATATTTTGTTATTATTAAGGTGCTCCAAGAAGACCTAAATTTAACCACGAAGTTCACGCCGCCATTTTTTCTAATGTTGATTTAGCTTTGCAAATGAAGATTTCTAACTCTTCAGTAAAAAAGAAAGCTGAAAGTTAGAATGTTTTAGAATGTATTTTGTAAGTTGTAATATAACGTGTTAAAGTTTTGAATAAATTTTATGAGATAATAGACAATACGAAATGATCTTCTACTTTCATTTCTCCGAGCCAGTGATTCTCAACTCTTCTGCATTCACGGACCATTTTCAATATTTTAGTAATATGACCCGCTTCCAAACTTAGTTATAAATGTATAAGGAAAGAAAAAAAACATTAAAAAAAATTAACACCTTTATTTATTAGTATCAAGTAAAATTTAGCTCGTGACAGTTGTTTAATAAATGCTGCTGTTTCTTGTCAATAAGCACATTAAATCGAAGAATTACCTAACACAACGTAAGAAGTATATCGTCTTTGACGTCTAACCGTTGACGTTTGTATTTTTTATTGACACAAATGCTGAAAACCTTGACTCACAAAGGTACGTAATAGCAAACGGAGACAATTTGGAGGCTACTTATTTAACAAGGAGAGGGTAAGCTCTTCCTAAACTACACCAAAAATCACAAACAAATATTGCTTTGGATCTCGTGTCAATTAAATTGTCTTTAAATCTTTATCATTGATATCAATCATAAATGGGCTACACAAACAAGTCTCCTGATTAATGCTTTGAGGGCAAAAGTACTATGTAGTGTTTCAAGATATTCTGAGATTTCTTTTTGTGACAGCCAATTTCCATCATTTAATTTCTTCATTTAAACTTCTTGTCGATTGCACTTCACTCTGAAACAGCAGTTCCAACATACAAAAACTTGTGGTAAAACCTACATTCACTCTCCTTTTCCAAGGTGGCAGCTTACCAAGGAAAACATTTAGCTTTTCAGTTGCATCCACAATTGTAACGGCAGGATAGTTACCGCTTTAACTTTCTTTCTTTGATCTCTACCACATACAAGTTCCACAATGTCTTATAAATAATGCTAGAAGAATTTCTGCAATAGTGTGTGGTTTTTTTGGGGGGCAATGTAATTTTGTATGATGCTTCTAAACATGGTTTTTGTGTTGGAATAAAGCCTAGTTTGGGTCAAGTGTCGGCTCTTTCAAACCTAGCTTTTTTGGCACGATAAACTTCGGCATTATCATATGTGTTTCATTGGTAGATAGATTTAAGATGTTCATACAGTTTTGATGGCTAAATACTGCCTTAAAAAGTACTTTATTACATAAAAAGCACTGTGATTTATGTGTTCCATCTCGTTCAGTAACAAAAGTAAAACCTTAGGTGAAATATGAACCATTATATTTTCCTTTTTTTGTTGTTGTTGATATTTTCAAGAAATTGTAACAATTAATAAAATTACTTGTTACAAAAATACTCATAAATAATTAAATAATTAAATGTTTTTTTTGTTTGATATCGGGCTGCAAATAATTTGCTAACAACTATCAGTTCTTAGCAAAATATAATATCTTTCTTGTTTAAAAAACCCCAAATTTTTTGTAAATCTGTGCCTGCCACATGGACCATTAGAACTCATCCAGTGGCCACCTCAGGGGTCCACGGACCTTAGATTAAGAAATCCTGCTCTAAGCCATTATAAAAATTTTAAAATATAAAAAATATCAAATTGCATTTTAGGGCTGTTTTTACCCTGGAGTAGGCATGAAAGTAGTTTTAAATTGAAAAAAAAGGTATAACAAAAAACTTAGGGGAGAGTGAGGTATTGGCGAACATCTAAGCGGGGACGCAAATTAAAGACATCAGTTATACAAAATTGATCACATTTATTGCTTATCAATTAGTTTAACTATTCAGTCACAAATCCTCAAAAGCAATTTTTATAAATTTGATTATAAAATAAAAATTTATGGCAAAAGTAAAACCATTGGTGTTCGGAAATACCCTACGTTCGTGGCGTAATTCCGAATGTAGATCAATCATAATATTTGAAAATTATTTTTTAGGTTTAAGAAGAGTTAAAAAATTATTTACTACTATTTACATTGTTTTTAATTCTACCTGCTTCTCTGCAATTTGAGATATTTGAAAACGTTTGTTAACTTTTTTTTTTTTTTTTAAAAAAAATAAAAAAAAGTAAAATAAAATAAAATAGAAATTAATAAAAATAACGTTTACCTTTAACTTTAGCACACGCTGTATTTGATCCTTCTTAAACATCGTATCGTATACAGTCATTAGTCATCGTATTAGTCATTAGCTCCAAAAAAAAGACATTAATAAAAAGTGGTATTAAGTTATCAAGTTCTCCTATTTTTCATCACTTTATTCTTTGTTGGTTTCAAAAATATACAAACTTGCTCAGTTATGATGAATACATCATTGCATTTGCTACTCACAAATTGAATCCTTAGGATTTTAAAAACGTATAGCAGATCTAAAAAAAACCTGCGGAAACTAAAAGCCTTGTTAAATGAAAAACTTCTTTTGTGGAATAAACTCTTTCTTTGTAAATAATTTTATACAATATTTTAAGGGAGTTACCCTCGTTATCAACATAAAAGAAGTTTTTTTTATTTAGCTATATATCAATAAACTCTTCAAAGATGTCATATATAGTTTGAACTAAAACCATATTTTTTTGTCATTGGTTTTTGTCATTTGTTGCAATTGTTTTTAAAACCGAGTATTTCATTTTATTTGAGCATAAAATTTTTATTTTTAACGTCTTTAAAGATAATTGCAAAATTCGTGATAGTAACGAAATGGATATTTTAGTTAGCCGACTTTTTATTTTATACATTACAGACCGTAATACATTTACATCAAGAATTTTGTTGCAATTAGTTCCACTTCTAAAAATAATTTAATACCTTATTTTTGATATGAAGATATTGTTGTAAAATATAAGTACTTTGTGTGATAATCTAAAATCTTTACAGTATTACCCAATAATAAAAATTGTTTTTAGTATAGGACAAGTGACCAATGTATCTACAGGTAATTTTTTATTTATTATACTTCTTATCAAATAACTTTTTAAAGAAGTAATTTTTACAAATCTTCATTAACTATGAAAAACAGATTTTCTATAAAATTGACACAGTGAGTAGAGTAAGACTTTGAATCGAAGAATACGCATGGCCTACTATATTCACGGCCTTATATCATACATTTTTGAGAAGGAAATTAATAGGCTGGTTTTGAATGTTTTAGATACAAAATAAGCTAAAATATCATTTTTAAAAATATTCTTCTTTCTAAATTTACAAAATTTTAAAGAATTTATATTAAAAATGGTCAACAAATGTGCTGCACCAAAATGTACATCGGGATACTTAAGCAGCAAACACAAACAAATTGCATTTTTTCATTTTCCGACAGACCAAAATTTAAATCAACTTTGGATACAATTTGTTACTCTTTGAGATTGGACTCCAACAAAACATTCTGTTTTATGAGAACTTCATTTTGAAGATAAATATATACTTAGAGGTGATAAATGCACACTGAATTGGCTTGTAAAATCTGTTCCTTCTAAGTATTCTTGTGAACTTTCGCAAAAAAAAATCATATTTACCAGTTTTAAAAACTTCTCGAAATCCTTCTAAATTGAGAGTATTCCAAAAAGATCAGTTAGAAGTATTTAAGAAAAATGATACAATTACAAATATGCATAGTTTGAATGAAGCAGTAGTACCAACAGGGTTTCAATTTAAACAATTTGAAAAAGGTGTCGTGTTTTATAATATAGTATTTTATGAACAGACATATTTTCGTACTATATTAGAATCAATAACAGTTGATGCAGAACTAAATTTAAGTTTGCAATACAAAGA